AGAGACTGTTCACGTCCCGTCTGCCCAGTCAGAGACTGTTCACGTCCCGTCTGCCCAGTCAGAGACTGTTCACGTCCCGTCTGCCCAGTCAGAGACTGTTCACGTCCCGTCTGCCCAGTCAGAGACTGTTCACGTCCCGTCTGCCCAGTCAGAGACTGTTCACGTCCCGTCTGCCCAGTCAGAGACTGTTCACGTCCCGTCTGCCCAGTCAGAGACTGTTCACGTCCCGTCTGCCCAGTCAGAGACTGTTCACGTCCCGTCTGCCCAGTCAGAGACTGTTCACGTCCCGTCTGCCCAGTCAGAGACTGTTCACGTTCCGTCTGCCCAGTCAGAGACTGTTCACGTCCCGTCTGCCCAGTCAGAGACTGTTCACGTCCCGTCTGCCCAGTCAGAGACTGTTCACGTCCCGTCTGCCCAGTCAGAGACTGTTCATGTTCTGTCTGCCCAGTCAGAGACTGTTCATGTTCTGTCTGCCTTCATGGACCTGGATTATCTGGAGCGTCTGGCTCGGATCCTGGACATGCCCGTGTCTGCTGTTCCAGAGCCGGAGCCAGTGTCTCCTGTTCCAGAGCCGGAGCCAGTGTCTCCTGTTCCAGAGCCGGAGCCAGTGTCTGCTGTTCCAGAGCCGGAGGCAGAGCCAGTGCCCGTTCCAGAGCTGGAGGCAGAGCCAGTGCCCACTCATGAGCCGGAGCCAGAGCCAGAGGCAGAGCCATTGCCTGTTCCAGAGCCGGAGTCAGAGCCAGTGCTGTCTGCCTTCATGGACCTGGACTATCTGGAGCGTCTGGCTCGGATCCTGGACATGCCTGTGTCTGCCGTTCGAGGGCCGGAGCCAGTGTCTGTTCCGGGGCCGGAGCCAGTGTCTGTTCCGGGGCCAGAGCCAGTGTCTGTTCCGGGGCCGGAGCCAGTGTCTGTTCCGGGGCCGGAGCCAGTGTCTGTTCCGGGGCCGGAGCCAGTGTCTGTTCCAGGGCCGGAGCCAGTGTCTGTTCCAGGGCCGGAGGCAGAGCCAGTGCCCGTTCCAGAGCCAGTGTTTGTTTCTGTGTTTGTTTCTGTTCTTGTGGCTGTTATAGTTTTTGTGTCTGATCCTGAGCCGGTGTCTGATCCTGAGCCGGTGTCTGATCCTGAGCCGGTGTCTGATCCTGAGCCGGTGTCTGATCCTGAGCCGGTGTCTGATCCTGAGCCGGTATCACTGCCCTGGCCGCCCGAGGGGTCTTCTCCGCCCTTGCCGCCCGAGGGGTCTTCTCCGCCCTGGCCGCCCGAGGGGTCTTCTCCGCCCTGGCCGCCCGAGGGGTCTTCTCCGCCCTGGCCGCCCGAGGGGTCTTCTCCGCCCTGGCCGCCCGAGGGGTCTTCTACGCCCTGGCCGCCCGATGGATCGTCGTCTCCGCCCTGGCCGCCCGATGGGTCGTCTTCACCGCCCTGGCCGCCCGATGGGTCGTCTTCACCGCCCTGGCCGCCCGATGGGTCGTCTTCACCGCCCTGGCCGCCCGATGGGTCGTCTTCACCGCCCTGGCCGCCCGATGGGTCGTCTTTACCGCCCTGGCCGCCCGAGGGGTCTTCACCGCCCTGGCCGCCCGAGGGGTCTTTACCGCCCTGGCCGCCCGAGGGGTCTTCACCATCGCCCTGGCCGCCCGAGGGGTCTTCACCATCGCCCTGGCCGCCCGAGGGGTCTTCACCATCGCCCTGGCCGCCCGATGGGTCGTCTGCATCGCCCTGGCCGCCAGATGGGTCGTCTGCTTCGCCCTGGCCGCCCGATGCGTCGTCTGCTTCGCCCTGGCCGCCCGATGGACTTTCTGGTTCGCCCTGGCTGCCGGCTAAACCATCACCCCCTGTTTCTGTTCCCTTTCATGGTCCTGGCCCTCCCATCCCTCCCTTGGATTTTCCATATTACACCTTCCTCTTGGACTCTTGGGTTGTCTTGTGTACTGTCATGGAGCGTCTGGTAGCCGCTCCGTAGAGGGGAGGTTCTGTCACAGTGTCTGGTTGTGTTTCCCTGGGTTATCACTAGAGGTCCTCGTTCTCACGGTGTCATTCACATTAGACTACAATTCCCAGCATTCTGTTCTGTCACTTATCTGATTATTGCACTCAGCTGTTTCCCATCACCTTGTTAGTTCTGTGTGTATATATTCCCTGTCTGTGTTAGTGTTTGTTACGGAGTCCTTGATTAATGTCCGCACACTTCTGTTCCTGTTTGCTGCCTGTTCTTGTTCATGTTTTGGTCTTGTGTTTTGGATTGCCTTATTGGATTTTGACCCCTGCATGGATGACTACGAGTTTGGATTTCCCTTATATTAAAAGACTACTGCTCTTGGATTTTCTGCCTCCTGTGTGTGTTCCGTGACAAGTTTACGGTGACAGGATGATTGACAGGTCAGTTTACGGTGACCGGATGATTGACAGGCCAGTTTACGGTGACCGGATGATTGACAGGCCAGTTTACGGTGACCGGATGATTGACAGGTCAGTTTACGGTGACCGGATGATTTACAGGCCAGTTTACGGTGACAGGATGCACGCCACAGATCTGTCCGTTAAAGATGACGAAGTTGTATGTCTCAAAGCTTGCCTAATCTTGTGCTACACACTCAAAAGTATGTACTTTTACTTCACAAAAAGAGTACATACTTTTAGGGCGTAGTATAAGTAGGTGAATTGGGACGAAGCCATGGATTTTCATTTTCGCCTGAACGTTTCCTGTAAGGGCCGACGGATGACAACATGGACTTCGTAATATTTGATTTAAACGTTATATAAAACTGTATGTGAATGATGTGATCATTATGAATGATCTAAATCTCCCAGAGGCAACTCTGACACACAGCCGGCAAATAAAGTCCTGATCAAAATGTATTCCAAATAGAAAGCAGCGGGTCGTTCACTTGTTAGTGTGCACTAGGGCAGAATGATGATCAGTTAACCAGATCCTGAGACTGACACACACACACACACACACACAAGATCAGCCTCCAGCGCTCATGTGATTTATAGTGAACTTCACTGTTGCTCCTCATTAGACCAATGTTCTGCTCCATCATGAGCTCAACTAAAGATACACTTAATGTACATGTTCTACACACACAGCATAATTATCATAGAACAATCCAGAACTATCAAGCATTTCCATGAGTGTGTCAAATCTGAGAACCATCACAAATCAAACTAAGAGATTACTGGATCTTTAAACTGAAAGGCACCGCGTCTCCCCGAGAGTGTTTGTCATCTTTATAGTCTCTCTGAATTACACCACACGATTAATATTTGCAAACGGTTTTCGTCAGCCGAACTCATTTGAGCTAAAATAATTGCTTGAAGTTCCCTTGATATTTTTAGCTATATTGCAATCATTTAAAAACATATTCAGAGTTCTTTGATGTCAGTTAATGGTCACATGATATGCAGGTAAACAAATAAACAAAGTGTGTTAGTACACTGGCGGCCACACGTTTGGATTTTTTAATATCTGTTTGCAAAGACTGAATTTATTTGATATAAAGTTTGTAATATATTTATACAATTAAACTTGTAATATTTCAATATATTTATAGCATATTAGAATGATCTCTGAAGGATCATGTGACACTGAAGACTGGAGTAATGATACTGAAAATACAGCTTTGATCACAGGAATAAATGACACTTTACTGTATATTCACATAGACAACAGCTGATTTACATTGGAATATTATTTTTTTTTTAAAAAATACTGTATTTTGATCAAATAAATGCAGCCTAAGTGAGTTTAAAAATTCATAGTTCTTCTAACCACTTGACCGGAGAGACAAAGACATAAAAACTGCTCATAAAATCAAGAGAATAAAATAATTAAAAACAATATTTATAATTTAAAATATGTCTAATTATAAAATTGTGAAACATTTTAAAAACATTTAAATAAAATATTACCTCATTGAAGCATTTAGGGAATCATATTTAGATGATTTAATTAAAAGTATTTCAAATGTATAAATGATTAATTATTTTAAGCCTAAACCGGGTGAACAGGGTAAAACATTTAAATGTGCAAATGAGGCATTAACTACTTAAATATGCATATTTCGAGAACAGAAATCTGAACATTGGATAAAGCCAGATTTGGAAAAATATTAAGACATATTAGAGTTGAAGGTTTTTACAGAGCGGATTTTGAAAATAAATCAGAAAATATTGTCAAAACATTTCAGGAAATAAACTGTTATATAAACCAGACGGATGATAAATGAATGAACCTTCAGAAAATAAAACTGTAAAGTTTGGTGTGTGTGAAATGGAGATTTCTGACTCAAACTCACGCCTTTAAATTGAATATATACAGATGCAAATTAATAAAATGCAATAAAATAAAAACTTGGGAAGTTTTCTTTCCACTAGTCTGAAAGTAGACATTGTTATGAAAGCAAAATAGACCAGTGCATGAACAAACATGCTTTTGCCTGAAGTTTCTCGCCTTAATTCAAGTAAATCGGACAGAATAACTGGTTTTTGGACCCATTACACTGCAAAAATGCTTTTCTTACTTAGTATTTTTGTATTGTTTCCAGTCCAAATATCAAAAGATTCTTAAATCAAGATGCATTTACTAGATGAGTAAAATGCCATAAGATATTATGTCTTGTTTTCCGGGGGAATTAATCAAAATTAAGTGAGTTTTTGCTTAAAACAAGCAAAATTATCTCCTAATTGGGTAAGAATTTTTTTTTTTTAAATTAAAACAGAAACAGGATTATTTTTCTCACCCCATTGGCAGATAATTTAGCTTGTTTTAAGCAAAAACGTACTTAATTTTGATTAATTCCCCCGGACAACAAGACATAACATCTTATGGCATTTTACTACTTTAGTAAATGCATCTTGATTTAAGAATTTTTAGATATTTGGACTGGAAACAAGACAAAAATACTAAGTAGGAAAATCATTTTTGCAGTGTAAAACCAGTCCAAAAACCAGTTATTCTGTCTGATTTACTTGAATGTTTGACAGTGTGGTTGGTTAGTGTTGACTCTCACCTGGTTGAGCTGAGCCATGGGTGAGCCGGAGACATTAACCGAGTGACATCTGAAGTTGAGCAGGGTGTGTGTGCGCTGTGATCCGCTCTCGTCGTGACCCGGTTCGGCCACCGGGGGCAGTAGAGCCGCCGTACACAATAAACCCATGAGAGTCGGGGGGACCATCAGGGCCTCCAGAGCGATGTTAGCAGAAACCTGCACACACACACACACACACACACACACAACGTTACGCGACCTACTTTCCTCACACTAATTGCTCGTTGGAAAATAAACATCATTCATTGTACGAGTGAGTCAAGGACTGATTATGAAAATGTAAAGTCTAAACAAAGACTCCATTAACGATCCGAGTCTGTAACCTACATTATCAGAACAATAACAGGCCAGAAGCTCAGAAATGGTGATTACGTCAATATTTACAGCGTTGGAGTAGAAACCCACCTGAGATACAGACAGCATGTACAGTATTAGTCATCAGATTAACAAACGTTAGGATCCCACGGCCCACAATGCATCAGGGAACAAATCAGCGGCGCACAAACCTCTTTTCATTAGCGTTTAATGAGCAAATCTCAAGAGTAATTCATGCCAATTCACAAAATAAATGTTTTTTTTAATCAAAAGAAGCATGCATTCCATGCATAATATTGTTTTGCAGCTTAAATTGGCTACAAATACATATATTCCGCCTTTTTTAAAGTGCTTATTTTTCTTAAATCAATCAACTGAATGTGTTTTGTATGGAAGCTTGTTTCCGTCATGGAATAGAAAAATTACTGACTTTTTACCTCGCAATTCTGACTTGATTTCTCACACTTGTATCTAAAAATAAAGTCAGAATTGTGGGATATAAACTCGCAAATGTGAGAAGAAATATTGATATTAAACATATAAACTCCAAGAAGCATTTACTAGATGAGTAAAATGACAAGAAATTCTATTTACATTATTAAATTATTAAATTTAATTCTGGTGCTGGTTGAGGAGAGAACCCCTAATATGATTGTAAAGCCCTTTGGGTGTACAGCAGTACATATGAAAGCGCTATATAAATGCCTCATTCATTCATTCATTCAAATTCTATTATTAAACTATTGTTTTCTGATTTAAAATAATCTAAATTAAGTGAGTTTTTACTTAAAACAAGCAAAATTTTCTGCCAATGGGGTGAGAAAAAAACTCCATTGGCAGATAATTCTGCTTGTTTGAGGCAAAAACTCACTTAATTTAGTTTTTTTTTTTAGAAAACAAGATATACTTTCTAATGCCATTTTACATATCTAGCAAATGCTTCTTGATTTAAGAATTTTTAGATATTTGGACTGGAAACAAGACAGAAATACTAAATAAGAAAGCATGTTTTGGAGTGTGATAAGTGTTGCTTTTAAACACAACTCTGTTTTTCTATTCACAACATGTTTTGCAGCGTTGAGCATTGTAGCCAATCACAGAGCTGTTTGTTGAGCGTGTGAACGCAATGGCCAATCAGAGGCATTCAAGTCAGAATCTGCTCAGAGTTTGTTCAGCTCTGAATGCTCACAGATGGTTTGGGTATAACCAACAAAGCATTGTTTTTTCCTCCATGTTTCCTATGAAGTGTGTCTGAATGAAAGCGTGTGTGAGCTTCACCTTCGAGATGGCGGTGTTGTTGGCGTTGAGCGCGAGATCTGCGATCCGCTCCACACACTGGACGATACGTGTACACGCGCGAGCTTCATTCTGAGCCATCCAGAGAACGTGTTCCTCCACCTGCATCATGTTACTGGCCATCACGAACACATGGTCACCCAACTACAGAGAAACACCGACCACACATCAGTGGACAAGACGTTCCTATCATGCTGTAATCTCTCTCTAGTGTGTGATGTTGCTGTTTGAGTTATTCTCTATATCAGCGTCAGTGTTTCTGAACTCCTGAAACGCCTCCATTAGTCTTGAGTTTCTTCCGGGAACGAACACATCACAATATTCCTCATTATAATAATTAATGCGCAGAATAAAGGGGCGGGGCCTGGTTGAGTTAGTTAGTAGTGTGTTAAACTGGTGGTTATGGAAAGGGGCGGGACATTTCCCAAACACACTCGAAGTGCTCGACCAATCACAACACACCGATCCAGCTGACCAATCAGAGCACAGTGTGCCTTTCAGGAGGAGGGGCTTCAGAGAGACAGGAAGTAAACAGAGCGTTACTGACAGACTGGGAAGAGAGGAGCTGCAACAATGGAGAATATGAGGAGAATAATCAACATTCAAGCAGGAAAACCTGTTCTAGTAGAAGCAAGACTTTGTAAAAGGGCATAATAGATCGTCTTTAATATAATCAAGATACTTTTACTGGAGAAGCAAAATGAAATGACTTCACACTTATCAAAAAACAATATCTGCCAACGGAGTCAGAAAAATAAACTTGTTTTCCCTTCAATTTTAGATTATTTTTCTGACCTCATTGGCAGATTGTTTTTCTTCTTGTTTTAAGCATAAACTCACTTTATTTTGATTAATCAAACACTTCATATTTTCAGTAATTTTGCTTCTCTAGTAAATGCATCTTTATTTAAGAATGTTTAGATATTTGTGCTGGAAAACAAGACAAAAATACTAAGTAAGAACAGCATTTTTTGCATCACATGCACAGTTAATCTCCATTAACGGACTGTACTAAACTGAATTTATGTCTTGAACAAGCCATCAAAAACTATAAGAGCTTTGCGATTCGTGATTTAGATGAGTCTCTATAGCAGAACTGAGGGTTATATCTCATTTACTTGAATAAAGAGGCAATATTCACAGTTCTTACGTGACCTTGAAGCCCTTAAACAACATTTGAACCAATATATTATTGTAACTTTGACTTTAAGCTCTCACTTTCTGCCGTTAGTGTTAAACCTGAGTGTTTCAGGAGGGCTGTAAATGAAGTGTGCGCTTCACACACAGTTAAAGTCATGTTCTGTTTTTATTTACCTAAAGCAGCTTTGTGCTAATCATATTCACGCTTCACACAACATCTTAAACAAAAGCATCAACATTACCGCCTCAAGCATTCTCGAAGTACATGTGCATTGTTGCTTTCCAAAGGGTTTGATTCCCTGTCAATGCACAACGCACTTGTAAAATGTAAACTTTAAATGCAAAGTCAATACTAAACCTCTTGAAAATGCATGCAAATGTTTGCATACTTGGCGTGAAGTGTGTGTCTGGCCTGAAGGTCACATATGGAAGGAACAGCTCTTCTTCTGTTGTGTAATTAATACAAATTTCCCCAAAGCGAGTCTGTTTTCTCATTCACACCCTCCAAAAGCTCTTCTGGCGGAGTCTGCCAGTGTTATTAAAATGCTAAACGTGTTCACTGAACATGTGTACATAACACTTAAAGCTGAAAATAGCTGATAACAATGTGCAGTGACTCAAATTGCACATAAATTGCACAGTAGCAGAGCGCCGCGTCAATGACAGTGTGTGGAAGAGACTGAGACACACACACGGCACATCATCACTACAGTCTTCATATCACTCACGCCACTGCAAAAAAGGATTTCAGGCCTACGTTTAAGATTTATGTTTTTGAATTGCATTTAAAATTCCAATTCATTTCCATGGATTAAACAGTTTTAACATAAACAAACTAATAAACGTAATGGGATGCATATTTGTCAGTCACGCATAAACGAAGCAGGTCAGATTTCTACACTCAACTTTATTATTAATTATATGCAATTGTTATTTTCATATTTTCAAAATGCATATATTTAAAGTGCTTAAAATCCGCATTAATCTGTTCGTTGTGAAAAAATTTAAATTCAGGTAAAGTCTGAACAAAAAAAATGGCTAGTTGTGGAACAAGCAATAGGATTTTTTTTTGTTATTGTGTATTTAAAGCACATTCAGATTATTAGTAGTATTGCAGAAATCTGACCTGCTTCATTTATGACAAATATGCATCACATTACGTTTATTAGTTTATGTTAAAACTGTAATGGAAATGTTACATGCAGTTCAAATAGATACAAATTTTTCAAGTGTAAAAATATCTAAACATTTTTTAAATCAAAATACATTTACTGGAGATGCAAAATGGCAAAAAGTTACAACAAATTCTGAAAATAAAAATTAAGTGATTTTAAATTAAATTATAATTATTAAAACTAAGTGAGTACTGAAAAACAGTGAAGTCAGAAAAACAAACTTAATTCAAAGGGAAACCGGGATTACCGGTATTTTTCTTGACAGATATTTGTTCTTGTTTTAAGCATAAACTCATTTTAATCAATTTCTCAAATCTTCAGTCATTTTGCCTCTTCTCCAGTAAATGCATCTTGATTTAGGAATATTTAGATATTGGTGCTGGAAAACAAGACAGAAACACTGAGGAAGAATCCATCAAAAGTATCCTAAACATATAATTAGGTGTAAAACTAAGAATAATACTGCCACTATAATGATAAAGAAGACCTTGCTTAATCTTTGCTTAAACGTTCATAGATTTTGATCTATGACTGAATGTAGTCAGAATCCTGATAGATTAAACGGGTTGAGGCATTATGGGATGCGATTCTCACCTCTCTGACATCATCCACCAGTCGTGTGAGTCTTTCTATCAGGTGAGTGACAAATATGACATCCATCATGTCTCCGAACAGCGCCGCCCTGCTGGTGAGAGAGGAGAGACTCTGCGCCACCCTCAGCGCGCTGGACACGTTCACTGGGAT